TCTTTGGATTGTTGCACTTCTTCTGGAAGCATGCTATTTCCTTTCTCCTTTCTGAAAATGTATCAAAAATATTCTTTGTTCATTGATTCCATTAATACTTGTTGAGCAATTACCACATAGTAGGTCTTTTCCTAGGTGCTGGGCTAGAGATACAAAAATAAACAAAAGAGACAAAAATCTCTATCCGAAAAGTAGCCGTGAAATGACACACACCCTATAGCTCAGCAACGAATGGCTAGTCACTGTCCAGTGGGATCTCTGTAAACCAGTGAGTATTCCTGAACAACTGTTATAGTCGCCCTCTCTCCTTTTTTTTTTGTCTTATTCACCATCTATCGTGTAGATTCTCAGGTTAGGAACACGACAGGACTAGGTCTGACTGGGAGCCCCTTCCTCGTCTCAACTTCCACCCTCACTGGAACCCCACAAATGGGCATCATGAGAAAGGGCAGGGGAAAGCCGGTGGCGGCGCTGCGCTGGTGCCCGCCCCACATGCAGGCACACGGGGGCTGCCCAGCACCCCGCTCCCACCTGGCTGACTTCTCCCAGCTGTGTCTCCTTCCCAAAGTCCCAGAGCCTCTCTGGGGGGCAGGTCCAGACATGTCCACCCAGGAGGGTCTTTGGACTGGGCTTTCCCCAAGCCCCTCACTCTGGCCAGGACTCCAGCAGCACCCCAACATGCTCCTCTGCCACCAACGCCCCCCTTTGCCCCCGGCTGCTTTGGAGGGCACATCCCCTGTCAGTGCTGCCTTGTCCCTCTCCCTGCCAGGCCCAGCCCCTCCTCATGCTCTGCTCTTCTGGGCCCAGCCTCAGGGCTCCAGGGGCTTTCTCCCACCCACACGGTGGTGTCCGCCACCTGCCTTGCAGCTGGGCTACCCCTGCCGCCCCTCTGGGGCAATCTATTGTTTTATTCATGGCTAGAAATGGGCCCAGGATGGGGCAGGGTACTGGAGTAGATGGCCTCTTGCCACGAGGGAGTCCATGGCCACACCCCCCTGTGCTGGCAGGGACGGAAGGACTGAGTTCCTGCTGTCTGCTCCCCTGACAGTGCCAGCATTCTCTCTCCTACCCCTTGGAAACCCCGCCCTGGGCCCTCCCTCTGCAGAACCAGCTGCTCCCCGTCTGCCCTGTACCCTCAGGACCGGCACTGGTGTCAGCGCCACGCAATGAAACATTCTGGGAAAGGGGCAGAGGGGAGGTGGGGTTTGCCCAAGGTTCCACTGCCAAGCCCAGCGCTGTTCCTTAGGCAGGAGCCCCTCCATTCCCTGTAATAGCTCTGCACATGGGTGGGGCATGGAGGATTTTCTCTCTCAGTTAATTCTGGGCCCCAAGATAACTTGCTTAGAGTCACACAGCAGCACTGTGACCCGGTTACACCAGGGCGGAAACCCACCAGGGATACTGAGAGTTAGGTTCATGGAATGCTGGATGTCCGTCTTGTGCTCCAAGCCCACTCTCACACTCCCAGCACACCACAGCATCTTATCTGTCAGGCAGTGGGTTTCTGTTCACTTAGCCTCAGTTTACCTCTCAGGAAAATGGGCATGAGGATGTGCATCATTCACGGAGGGGGAGGCATTCTGGATGGTGTCCCAAGGCCCAGAAGTTCCAAGGGGGAAAAAAAGCAGAGCTGTCCTTGGGAGAAAGGGGTGCCATGGTCACCAAAACCTTGACAACTGGGCACGGGAATGAGGCTGGGCGCGGAGGTGCCCTCAGGCAGCGTCCTGAGGGAATGAGTGGAAGGAGGAGGCAGCGAGGCTCAGCCTCCTCAGCCACTGGCTGTCAAGAGACCCACTCCCCCACCGTATTCATGGAGGGCAGGCACCAAACCACAGGACCTCCTGGCTCATGCCTGAGGGACCTCCCCACACACGCTGGCATGTTCTACTTCTCTTGCTGAGAACTGCAACTGGCGGGTGGGACCCAGGAAATGGGTGGTGAGCTCTGGGGAGACACCCACAGTCTAGCCTGGGATGAAGTCGGTGATGAAGGGAGAAGCCGGGTGAGGTGGGGAGGAATCGCAACACTGAAGAAGCCTGTGCAGATGGGGTGCTGTCTGCTATCCCAGCCACTACCGCTCTGGGCCTGGGCTTGGTGTCGTTCTCCTTGCCCTGCCCTTGCTGCCGTTCTCCTTGCCCTGCCCTTGCTGCCGGCCTCCTGTTTGGCTGGGAGTTAGAGCCGAACAGTGGCCTTCGCTCCTGCACTTTCTGTCTTTCCTCCTGCCCACCTCATTGCCAGAGATTTGCTCTTCTGTTCTGGGCTCTGCGCCGTGGGATGACTGGGACCTGGTTTTCCACGGTTATTCTCTGGGCTTGCCACACTGGCCGGAGATGCCCCACGGGCAGCGGAAAACACCTTGGGCTGAACTCCCCAGCTCCCCTGGCTGCAGCTGTGATGAAATTTCCTCAGTGTTTAAGGATCTGGGAAGAACGTGCTCTGGATGGAAGGATTAGCCAGCAGGGACTGAGCACCAGGCTCCTGGCCTCAGCCCAGAGCTCTCAGGGCCCGAGGGATCCCTCCCAGGGTCATCTAAGGGGTCCAGAGAGGAATGCACTCGCAGAAAGGCAGGGCCAGGGGACTGCTGATGTGTGAAGGGCTGGGAGCAGGTCAGGTGAAGTCATTCCCATGACTCTCCTGAGGCTGGAGCCAGGAAATCATCACCTTCAAACATGTGGACCCCTGAGCAGTTCTTCCCTTGCTTTGACTCAGTTAGGGACATTAACACGGTTGCAGGGAGCAGGGTGACGAGAGGTCTGGCCGATGACCAGGAAGAATGGCCCACATCAATTTGCAGGAGCAGCACAGCCACCGTTACCCACATGGATGTAGACGAAGGGCACTGCCCTCTGCAGTCCACTTTCAGGGGCCCACTCTTGTCCCGAGGGCAGCTGAGCCGAGGTCTCCTCTGATTGCCTGGGTTCAGCAAGTTCTAGATGCTTAAGATCCTGAGGGGCAAATGATAACACGTGGCAGATCTTCATGGGAGCCAGAGTGGGCCCAGATGCTGTCCCAAGTACAAGGCAAAAATGCCTTCTCCCAAGATTTCTCTGTCACCACTTTGTGGCACTGCCAATGTTTCGATCCTGTCAGCTTCCAGAAGAGAAGGAGTCCTCACATTCCTCTGGGACCATGGACCTGGAAGAGCCGCCATTGCTTCAGACTGTGGACCACAAACCCTTTCTCCTGCCAGCCTTGATCCTTTTTTCTTTTTTAAATCCCTGAGCCTCTCTTTTGCTCTCCAGAGCACTCTCCAAGGCAACTTGGAAGTGTGTCCCCGTCTCCAACTTTGGCCCAAATAAACTCTCTATATTAACTGTGCCTCAGCTTCTTCCCTTTGGGTCCACAGAGTACAAAGAGGCCAGTGTGGTGGGAGCACAACCGGGAGGAGGCCACTAGTACAGAATCAGAGCCGGGTGGGGGAGGAAGCAGACCACTTAGGGTGTTTTCTGAGGAAGAACTGTGGCTTTTACTCTGAGTGAAATGGAAATCCATTCGAGGGTTCTGGGCAGAGTGAAATGTTGACTCATAGTTTTAAAGGCTCTAGAATGTAGGGAAGCAAGAGCAGAGGTGAACAGACAATTAAAATATTGTCTCTTGCGAAACATTGCAATGGGAGTATATTGCAGTATTCCAGGCAAGAAATTTGAATATTATGGGGAATGTTTTCTGGAAGATTCAGAGTAATTACTTTTGTTTTACAATTGAGAATAAGAAAACTAAGGGTCAGGATCTTGATGCATCATAAGTATATTTTACTAGCCCCCTGCTCCAGGAAAAAAATCGGGATATTTTGCCTTGCTAGCCTAAAGATTGTTAAACTTTTTGAACTGTCTTGAGCATCGCAAGGTGATCTAATGCCTGGCACATAGCACACAGAAAAATTTGTGGAATGAATGAATGTGTAGTCAATTATGTGGGTAAAAATGAATGACAACATCAGGTAACTTGCTTGTGCAGGGTTCATTTCTCCTGCATACTCTGGAGGTGCTTATTGTCATCTTTAAATATTAGTTGGCAAAGAATGTCAAAAGTGGCCCATTATAAACACACTCCTACTTTTCAATAGGAATGTAGCGGGTGTGTGTGTGTGCAAGTACGTATTTTAAGCGGTACCAAGGCAGTTTGTACCGTCCTCTATCGTAGCAGTCAACAACTGTACTCAACTGTTTGCCTCTCTCCCTCTCAACAGTCTTTTGAGTCCTTTCAGGTTTGGAGGAACCTTATTTATCTACCTCTGGCACTCAGCACGGGGCTTGGCCACAATTCTTGTTGAAAGGCATACACAAGGTAATAAAGGGCAGTGGGAAATAAAATATGTGAGTTATTAACACCAGTCAGAGAAGCCTTGTCCGATTCATTTCCCTTAGGAAAAAACACTTCTGACCCTACTGCGGTAGAATTTAGCTTCTTGACTTTGAATTGCATTCTCACCCTGTGCTGAGCGCCTGGTGAGTGATCCGGGATCGATCGATCGATCGGTCGGTGCACAGTCAGTAGGTACTGCGGACGGGCTCGCAGGCTCTGGGACTCCAGCGGCCAGCGGGCCGGGGTGGGGGCGTCGATCAACCTACGTGAACAGCCCCCTCCGCCTGTAACTCCTCTGGGGAGCGGGGGTCCCTCCGCCTGTAACTCCTCTGGGGAGCGGGGGTCCCTCCGCCTGTAACTCCTCTGGGGAGCGGGGGTCCCTCGGCCTGTAACTCCTCTGGGGAGCGGGGGTCCCTCGGCCGGGCATCTCCTGGCGGGGGAGAACCTCCGTCCGCGAGCCCCTTCCCATAGGTGGACCCCTTCTCTTCAGTTGAACCCCGTTTCCCCTCCAGAAACGAAGACCCTCTTGCGCCCCCCGTCCCCACGCCCGGCTCCCCTCGGAGGGGAGTCCTGGTCCCAGACACCCCTCAAACACCCCGAGTATCTCCCCCACCCCCCGGCCCCTGCACACAGAACTTCCGGCCGGCGCCCCCTCCTCTCAGGCGGGACTTCCGGTGGCGCCCCCTCCTCCGCCGCGTCGTCCCCCTCATCCCGCCTGAGGCGAGCCCGGGCTCTGCCTAGCGCTCTGCGGCCCGGCGGCGGCGAAGCCTCGGGGCAGTGCCGGCGGCGGCGGCGGCGGTCGGGGCAGTGCGGGGCGCGCAGTCCTCCTGCCGTTCCTCGTTTTCCTCCTCTCCCCTCCTCCTCCGCCTCCTGCTCGCCCGGCTCGGCGGCGCTGCGAGCGGCAAGATGGCGGCGCCCAGGCTGCCTCCCTCCCGGCTCTCGGGTGTCATGATGCCGGCGCCCATCCAGGACCTGGAGGCCCTGCGCGCGCTCACGGCGCTCTTCAAAGAGCAGCGGAATCGGTAACGGGGGGCTGCCCCGGGCTGGGGAGGGAGGCCCGGACCCCCACGCCGGCGCCCGGCCGGGGCCCAGCGCGCCGCCCCCCGCTAGCTGGACGCGCGGAGGCCGAGGCCTGCGCTGGCGGCACCGGCGCCCCCCGGGCCGCGCGCCCTCCAGGCCCCGCCTCGCCCCCGCGGGGACGCTTGCTCCCCGGCCGCCCTCCCAGGTGCGGAGCCTTGACCCGGGAGCCCTTGGCCGCGCGCGCGAGCAGGTTTTGTTAGCTCAGCACACGCCTGGGCCCTGTCCTGTGAGGTGCCGCTCCAGGCCCCGGCTGCGAGCGGCACCGACGCGTATTCCCCCGGCGGGAGGCGCACGTTGCGGGCGTGGGAGTTGGGAGCGTGCGGGTGTTCCGGGCGCGCGGTTGGGGTGGCACTCCGCTCTGCCTGGCCGTGGGGCCCAGGCTCGCGGCCTTCTGTGCAGTGTGGAAGAGCACTGTCAGGAGAGGCCACATCTTGATTCTGCCACTGAGGGGCAAGGTAGCCGGGTAAAACACAAGGTGCCCAGAAGTCTTGACAGACCTGGATTTGGTTCCTGGACTTAAAGCTGCGTGTTATTGTGCACTTTAGCCACGCCTTAGATTTCTCGACTAATATGGGAATAAAAGATAATAACTTCATTGCTGCGTTGTACACAGGAATAAATTAAATAAAGTGTGTGAGAATATACAGTATTTGAAGCCTTCACTCAGTGCTTGTTTGATTTTGTTGTATTCTCTGGGCCTCAGTTTGCTCATCTGTTTAATGCGAATAAACAGATGTTGAATATTAATACCGTGTTTCCCTGAAAATAAGACAGGGTCTTATATTTATTTTTCCTCAAGAAGACACCCTAGGGCTTATTTTCAGGGGATGTGTTATTTTTTTAAAGTACGGTACAATAGTGTATTCTTTATTCAAATATAGTTAAGTTGTCTTCTTCTGGAACATCATCATAACTTTCTAAACCCTGAATTCCATCCTGAATTTCTTGCGACTCTGTTTCCTTTAGAATCATTGGCCTCAATCTCTCATGTTGAGCAGTAGAGCTCTCATGGGGCAGATGAGAAGGGCTGCTCATCTTCTTTACCACTTCCAGATGAAATGCATGGGTTGTGCAGATTTGGTGCGTAGCCATGCGCATCACTAGGTCTTCTTTTCCAGGGAGGGCTTCTATTACGCAAATGCATAGAAATCCTGCTAGGGTTTATTTTATGGGTAGGTCTTATTTTCGGAGAATCAGGGTAGTACCTCCCTGGTGTTATTGTTATGAGGATTAAATGAGATAATGCATCTAGATCCTTAGGACATACATGATACATAGTAAATAAATATTAGCTGATACTACTATCACTTAACACATTGATTGATGATCTGTCATGTATTGGGTATTGTGCTAGGTAATGAGTTAGGAAAATAAAAGGTCCTTGCTCTGTCCTATACTAGGGACCCAAAATAATATAAAACATGGGGTTATGTAGGAAGAGCAAAGGGAGCATAGTAATAAGGAGCACGTAGATTTGGGTTGGTCCAGATGATCATCAGAGGTCCTCTTTTTAAACTAGACACCTGATTTGAGCATGCCCTGGACCTCCAATCATGGTAGAAGTGTGGAGCTGCTGAAAGGACGCTAAAAGCCCTGGGCACTTGGGCGTTTGGGGAAATATGTTAATTTAATTTAATGCTTATGCATATTGGTATGGGGATGGACCCTCCTGCTAGTGAGTAATCCAGTCATCAACCATTTATTGAACACCTACTATGAAACAGGTTCTTTGCTAGAAGCTGAGGTTACAAAGATGAATGACATGATCCTTTATTCAAGCGTAGCAGGGAATTTGCTATGTAAACACATACTAATGGAGGTCTAGGCAAGAAGAGGTGTTGGCACAGAGGGAGCACATGAATCTGTTGGATTGGTGAGCCAGGAAAGGCTTTTTAAGATTACTTCAGGTGCTTGCGTTTCAGAAGAGAGGACTAACTAGAAAGAATAGTATCTGCAAAGGGGCTATATGTTGATTTTGCCGAGCAAGTGAGAGAATTAGGTAAAGTTTCTGGTACCTTTCTGATATAACATGTAGGAGAAAATCCAAGACCCTGAGCTAGTTTATGAGGCCCTTCTTGGTCTTTTGTGAGAGGAGTTAGGGGGAGCCATTGAAAGTTTTTATCAAGGGAGTGGCATGATAAGATCTGCATAGTAGACAGATCTCTCTGGCTGCCATTGTGTGGAATAAAAGAGAGTGAAGCTAGAGGCAGGGAGAACTTTGAGGAGCCTGTTGCAGAAGCTCAAGCGAAAGAGAAATGTGCCTGAATTAGGATGTTGTACACGGGGATGATTAGAATAAATATTGAGAGATATTTATAAGGTTGAATGGAGAGGACTCAGGGACCAGTTGGAATGTGCCTGAATTAGGATGTTGTCCACGGGGATGATTAGAATAAATATTGAGAGATATTTATAAGGTTGAATGGAGAGGACTCAGGGACCAGTTGGATTGTTGGGGGAGAATGAGAAAATGAGGTTGTTTCCTAGATTTGGTCTGAGTTCTTTTGGGGCTGTGTCCTTTTTCCAGGCAGAGTTTGGAGAACAGGAAGATGAACTAATGTGAAGGTCCTGCGATGATGAGACACGTAGTTGTGTGGTGGTGCGGAGAGCTCTCGGTAAGGGATTATATGGATAGGTCTTAGAATCTGTCACTGCTTCTCTGTGTCTTTGGGCAAATCACTAGGGGTCTTGTGAGGTTTGGTCCAGACTCCAGCTGCTCTGAGAGGATTCCTCCAGTTCTGACACTCAGGGATCCAGTATATGTCCTGGGGAGGGGGAGCTTCTCCTCTTAAGAGACGGCCTAGTGCTGTTGTCTGGCATGAACGGGAATGCACACGGACTCAGGAGAGGATGGGCTGACGTGCTAGGAGGTGGATGATACATAAAGCAGAACAAAATGAGTCCCCAGAGTAGCAGATAGAAAACACCAAAGCAAAAACAGAGTGAGGAAAGTGGAACATTCCACCAAAAGATAAGAAGAATGTTAGAAATAATCTATTTTGTAATTCTTCTGAGATTTTCAATGCTATAAAACAAACTTCTGTCTGTGGTAGCCTGAGTAATAGGAACGTCATGCAGTGGAACGGGAACATGGAGACCTGGGTATGAATCCTGCTTAGTCTCTGTAGACGTCTTGTCTCTTATCTTGATCATGGGATTGATAATAGCTACTTTGTGGGATTATTGTGAGGTTCTGTAATTTTATATGTATAGCGCAGTGCTGTGTACGCATAGTAGATGCTATTTGTTTAGGACCTGCTATTCAAAAACAACTGGGCTGTTAGTGACTGAGAACCGTTTATGTTTAATCTCTTGCCTTGTGGAAGACATTGGAAGCTATTTCAAGAAGATAATGATTTATTTAATTTGGGGGTTTCCAGAGAAAGGGATCCCAGGATTTCATTACAATTTTCAGCAACGCTCAGGTGAGAGGAAATTTTTACATCCCATTGTAGTGATTTTAGATGTGCCTACAAATTCTTTGGTACTCTGTCGTTTAAGAGGAGGAGGTTAATTCTTTCCCCCTTGAGTGTGGGCTGAACTTAGTGACTTATTTCTGAAGATGAGAATATGGCAGAAGAGACAGTGTGTAACTTTTCAGATTAGGTCTGAGTTGCAGTTTCCTCTTTGCACTCTCGTGGCTCACTCATTCTGACAAAGCCAGCTGCCATGTCATGAGGACACTCACCCATCCATATGCAGAGAGCTGTGTGGTGAGGAACTGAGGCCTCTTGCCAACCACATGAAGAACCACCTTGGAAGCAGATTCTCTCGGTCCTAGTATGTGCAACCTCAGCCATGTGTGCAACCGCATGAGACCCTAAGCCACTCCCAGATTTCTCATCTTCAGACCTGTGCGAGATCATAAATGTTATTGTTTTAAATGCTAAAGTTTGAGATAATTTGCTGTATAGCAGTAAATCAAAATTCTCTATACTCTGTATTAAACATATTCTGTAAACCACATGAAGAGTCTCTTAGTCACTAAAATTCTTTAGATGGGCTGGGTGCGCTGGCTCATGCCTGTAATCCTAGCAATCTGGGAGGCTGAAGCAGGAGGATCGTTTGAGCTCAGGAGTTCGAAACCAGCCTGAGCAAGAGCGAGACCCCGTCTCTACTAAAAATAGAAATAAATTAATTGGCCAACTAAAAACATATATAGAAACAATTAGCCAGGCATGGTGGTGCGTGCCTGTAGTCCCAGCTACTAGGGAGGCTGAGGCAGAAGGATTGCTCAAGCCCAGGAATTTGAGGTTGCTGTGAGCTAGGCTGACACCACGGCATTCTAGCCTGGACAATAGAGTGAGACCCTGTCTCAAAAAAAATAAAAAATTATTTAGATGATTGCTTATGATCATAAAATGTCAGTATTAAAATACTCCCCTGCTATTTCTTCTCTGTGGAAGATAATTCTTTTTTCTCACCTATTTTACATTTGTGTTATACCTTTTGCTTGGTATAGATATCTATATATTTCACATTTATTTAACAATGATTTGTCTTGCTGTTAGTCTTTGCAAGTCATGTTAAATTCTTTCTGGAACAAAGTAAGATATAAAGACATTAAAAATTCTATTTTGGTCTTCTCCTGGAGGTTGCATTTTCTAACCCATTAGTTACCTTTATGAAGTATCCCTAAGCCTATCCAGGCCCCACAAGTAAAGTGTAGAGCCAAGCGAGATGAGTTGTTATACTCTATACCTGAGCTATTCATTAAGTAACTACTAGCCAAATGTGACTACTTAAATTTAAATTAATTGAAAATAAGTAAAATTAATAATTCAGTTCCATATTTTTAGTGCTCAGTGGCTACATACATGTGATTGTGACTGCACAGATACAGAATATTTCCATCAGGCAGAAAGTTCTGTTGGGTAATGCTGCTCTGGAATTTATTGTTTTCTATAGGGAGGATTATGTTCTGGCTCTTGAATATTCTTGA